GGGGTGTACTCATAGTCGTGCATGCCGTAGTCGTTAGACCATTGACCTCGCATCCCTACAAAGCCGGGACGGAGCACGCCGGGTTCTCACCGGACCACGCTCTCACATCACCAAACGCGAAGCGCCATAAGGTATTCCGCGAGTCGCATGAAGGGTGCGCTGCATCCTGCTAAGGGTGTTCGGCATCTTGTGCTTACTTCCTTGCGTACGGATGACAGCTGCGTATGACTTAATATATTTTCTGGTGCTTCACTTCCAGAGACAGTTGTAGGCACTGTGTAACTGCCTCGAGGGAGCTTGACCATTTTAACACAATGTGGTGCGATCATCTCCCTTGCGCGGAGTGAGGGTTCTCGACCCCGCACAACATGATCTACTCGACCACCATTATGGTTACCGCAAAACAAAAAAAGGTAAGAAAAAAAAAACGATAACCTGGTGGCCGAGTTCACGAAGTGAACTAGCTTGTTTTACAACGTCATTGCCAAGCGACGAAAACCCAACCCCGATGNAGCTTGACCATTTTAACACAATGTGGTGCGATCATCTCCCTTGCGCGGAGTGAGGGTTCTCGACCCCGCACAACATGATCTACTCGACCACCATTATGGTTACCGCAAAACAAAAAAAGGTAAGAAAAAAAAAACGATAACCTGGTGGCCGAGTTCACGAAGTGAACTAGCTTGTTTTACAACGTCATTGCCAAGCGACGAAAACCCAACCCCGATGGCAAACACCGAGGGGGGCGGCTTGTTTTACAACGTCGTTGCCAAGCTACGAAAACCCAACCCCGATGGCAAACACCGAGGGGGGCGGCTTGTTTTACAACGTCGTTGCCAAGCTACGAAAACCCAACCCCGATGGTAAACACCGCCTGGAGGGGGGGGGTGTACTCATAGTCGTGCATGTCGTAGAAGTTAGACCATTGACCTCGCATCCCTACAAAGCCGGGACAGAGCACGCCGGGTTCTCACCGGACCAGGCTCTCACATCACCAAGCGCGAAGCGCCGTGAGATATTCGGCGAGTCGCATGAAGGGTGCGCTGCATCCTGCTAAGGGTGTTCGGCATCTTGTGCTTACTTCCTTGCGTACGGATGACAGCTGCGTATGAATTAATTTATTTTCTGGTGCTTTCACTTCCAGAGACAGTTGTAAGCACTGTGTAACTGCCTCGAGGGTGCTTGACCATTTTAACACAACGTGGTGCCATCATTCCCCTTGCGCGAAGTGAGGGTTCTCGACCGCGCACAACATGATCCACTCGATCACCATTATGGCTACCGCCACAAAAAAAAACAGAGGTAAAAAAAAACGGTAACCTGGTTGCCGAGCTCACGAAGTGAATTGGCTT